TCTGATTTTTTTCTTTCAACAAGAAAAGGAATTAGACGAGCTTCTAAAAAATGAGACACGCAGCGAGTTTCTATTCTATAATGGGATTCTACGTTCGAACACGCAGATCTTAGTAACTGTCGCGAAAATTATTTAGAGGATTGGATTCTCCTTTTAACAGTGAATGTGGTGATACGACACTGTGACCATTTTTTAGAATGGAATACGTATTTATAAAAATATCCAAAAAATACAAAATATAAAAATATCTAAAAATCATCAAAATGTATTATAATATTGTGAAAAAAACGAAGTGCCATGACCCTGTAATGTCGACAAAAATTATAAAACGCCACGAGACTTTCTCACGAGAGATCTCGCAAGCTCCGATAATTATTATAAATATAGAGCAATGAGAATATTATTAAACGTCGTTTAACATTTTACTGCTAGAACTTCCCTTCTAACACCTGTTCGAAGTTACCTGCACGCTCGCGTTAAGCAAAGCCGTAAGTAAAAACGGCCATTTTTCAGGGCCAGGCCCGCAAATTCGACACGGGCAATCCTCTCTATTCACGAGAGCACGTATCGAACCATTTAATTTTCCAACTCGATAAACCCGACATAACACATCGCCGCTAATTAACTGGCAGCCATGTATAATTCATGTGCTATTTGCTAATGGGGACAGAAATACTCTCGAAATAAGTGTGCGCCACGAAAATTTTATGTGGCGTACGAGCGATCGGAGGGAAATGAACGCGTGTGTATCGATATATTTAGGCGTGTTTTATTGGCGGGATCGATTAACCGGAACCGTGAATCATATCGAAACGAACGGGGCAAGCCTTCCCAAGTTTTCACGGTAATCGAGCATTGATTTAACACTCGGCAACACTCGATTCTATCCACACCGAGGTACGCGTTATTTACTCCAACAGGAGACACGCCCATATTTTTCAATCTCTACTGTACCATATTCCCTCGTTCTATCAATTTACCTCCTCAACGATTCCAGTTTCTTTTAATCTTTTGTGGGACGAGATGTTTTCTAACGTGATTGGCCTCTGCTGGATAAAATCGAACAGATGCGAAAAGATTGTTCGCGTGGAAAGAACTCTAATTGTAAGGTGAGGTTGTTAGGCCGAAATCGTGAAAGTGAAAGAGGCATTTTGTTTTTTTTAGACGTTTCCAATATACCGAAAGAGAACCTGCGCCAAAGAGAAATTGTGAAATTGGTCGGAAGTCTGACGAGACTCGTCTGATCTTCATTATCCTAAATTACAATAATTTTTGCGACAGAAGAACGTGAAGGGTGAATCTTCAATTCGTCCTTTGATGGAAAAAAAAAAATCAGGCGTTATTCTGTTCTTTTCGTGATATCTCACGAACAATCATTATTCGAGCATCGGGTTGGAAACTTTGTCGAACGCGGCGGACGCGAGACGACAAAACGAATCCAGAGACAACTCGAACGCGATCGAAATTTAGCGAATTTCCCGGTTTCTCGCCCCCTTTGATGATCCCCCAGTCGATATTCCAGCCAGACGGCGGATACGTAAACCTACACGTCGAAAATAAATTTTGCCGAGTATTGCCGGTTCATTCTAAGGCGTATAGAATGATAGCTATTTCCGTTAAGGAGAAAAAAACCGGTGCCACTGTCTGTCCGTGGCTTCTAAAGATAAAGCGTCTGCAAGCGATTTAACAAGAAAATCACTCTGCTCCTGTCTGCATCCTGCACTATCGAATTCGTCTCCCCCCCCCCCCTCCACACGCCCCTTTTTTCTTTTTCGATCCTTCGCCTCGTTCCGAACAAGACTAAACAAATTACGTCGCTTACAAAAAGCAAAACAGAAGAGTTTCTACCAACAGAAGAAAAAAGAAAAAAATGATAGACACCTGAGCCGGAATCACTACTATGCTAACATTCGGAATTTATCGATGGCTAGAAAACATCAGATTGCGGATGTTGACTCATTGCCACTCTCACTTTTGCCGTGATTTGCATCGAATCTCTTCCACATACATACATATTTGCGCGTTTGACGCGAGCGCAGAAAATCCGAACGAATTCCGGTTTGCAATATATCGCGGATGCCGGCCGCTTCTCTCTCGTGTATCCTTTCTCCGTGATCGTTCGATATTATCGTTTCCCCCTTTCCCCCCCCCCGCCGAGAACGTTTCCTCCTTGTACAATGGATCATAGCCGATTCTCGTATGTAAATTCTCGAACGGTACCGACTCGCTGAAATATCCAAAGTTGACACACAGACAGAGCGCCTCGGTCCTCAGACACGGTTCTATTTATATTTTGATGTGTGCTCGCGCCCGATTTTTGCGTAGAGGTTACTCATTCACTCGTCGATGAATTAAGAATACACAAGACAGAGAGCGAATCTCAGGGAATAGAGGGTTGCGAGAGTTTATCGAGCTGCGCGTTCCCTCTGCTCGACAGATGCCAAATTCTTTGAACTGGGAAGAATTTAACGAGAAAGATCCTCTTCTAACGACGATCGAGCAACAAGCTGATTTTGTAATCAGTCGATTAGGCGATGAGTCAGGTGACACGTAAACAGACTTATCGAAACTTGTACCATCGGGGAGAGACTTGAGAGAATATTTTTCGATATTAACTGTTTGGGCGAGCAAGTCTTAATTAATAAAATTCCAAGGGTGACATGGTAGCGAAATGTATAATTTTAGGAAACGAAACGAGAATATTAAGTAGATATCGAAGAAATGAAACGTTTATAAGATTTCTACCGAGATTATGAATCGCACAGCTCGATCTAATTTAAAAGTTATCAAAATTAATCAAAAGTTGTCAAATAATTCGAAAAATACGCGATGTCGTCCGTGTACTAGATTCCGTTATCTGCGACAAAGTGTATGCGAAGCTGTTTCCATTTTTAGACTTTTAAAGACACTTTTCGAGGATTTGCGCGTTTCCTTTTAGAAACTACATACGTGCGTATTAATTTCGCGACAGTCTGAAAATAGATTTCGTTTCGACGTTAGACTTGACGCGCGCGCGCATCGATAAAGATAATTGTAGCAAAACGTTAAAAAAAAAAGAGAGAGAGAATTCTACAGAACAGGGAGAAAACATGAATTTTCGTGCGTATGGGGAAAAGCAAAGTTTAGAAATACAAGTTGGCACACGTTCGTTCGTCGGACCAAGAGCTCGTTTCGCGGCGTTGCGAAACCGGCGACAATAGCGATCATTTGGTCGCTAATTAACACCGATGTGAGAAGAATCGGTGTTGCTGTGTCGCTACAACGTGTCAAGAGGACACAGATTCTCGCTACGTGGCCATGGATTGCCGTAATCCAAATAATTACCATCGCTGTTTCGCTCGTTCTCTTTAGCTTCTTCACTTCAAACAATTCAAATCTAATTCGATGGTAAAAAAAAAAAAAAATTAGTTTGACGACTGAGTGTAGAAAGACATTTTCGCTGATTCTAGAGAGAACAAGTTCCAAAGTAGCGGTTTGGATGAAAGAAGAGCCTAGAGATAAGAGAACGAAATTTGATATTCATGAACTTTCGCCTATGTTTAGACTGTGATTAATCCTTTTCATCGAACAATTCAAATAATTTGTGCAATCCATATGAATAACCGATCGATCGAATAATTCGAGAACCACGAAACGCTTTCCTCGTATTTACTTCGTCTCGTAGATAAGGTTAATAAAATATCAAAAAAACGTTTTCAATGAGTAATCACGTGACGTGTTTGATCATTCTAAACGAATCTAAAATTATTCTCTCACTTTCTTATACACTTTCGATCGCATTTTCGAAGATATGTCAAGGAGACTTCAAACAAGTCGGAAATATCGCGGCGAGAAGTCACGGAAAATCCGACAATTAATGGAATTTAACCCCTTGCGCTGACAACTGGTTCGCGGACCATAACGAGCGGCCGAACCGTATACAATAATTCGTCGCTTTCTTTTTCTCTTGAACTCGTCGGTACGATATCACTGGATAGAAATTATTAAGAAGTAACAAACTTATCATTTGTTTTGCCTCGGTTACATTTAAATACAGTCGAAACTGATAAAATGTTGCAAGAAATATAGTTGCATTTAAATATAGTCAGAACTGAGAAAATGTTGCAATTTGGGACAAAAAGATCTCGACGTGCGTGGTACCTCATTCCCAGAGCAAGAGGTTAAAGAATTTTGTAAGACGGTGTAGAAGAGATAGGCGCATATTATAAACCGATGGCAACGATATCGACGACACGGATTAGAGTGAGGAGAAGAGGGTGGTAGTAAGAGGCAGGGGAAAGTTAATTTTACGCGACGCTATGGAAATCCGAGTCGATACGTCAAATCCTCTCTGCGCACGGGATACACGCGAACTCGTATAATACCTACGGCTACACGAGGCCGTCTCTCGTTTTTATTCCTCTTATTCTGTCTACGTCGTCCGCTGTACGCTTCCATTTAACAGCTAGCAGTAGCGGTGCACTGACTCGAAAGTCTGGGAATCGAAACCGCACGGATTCCCCGTCGATGCGGCTAGACGCGGATCGGGGAAATTTTAGCGAAATTTTTACGCGTCGTCGACGACGATGGAAAAGAGACACGAACGTGCACACACCGAGGAGAAAAATCGAGACATACGAATGTACGTTGCGACTGCACGTGCGTATACGTGTGTAAAACAGTCGAGAAACGAGAACAAACGTTTTTCTCTCGATTCGAGATCCGTCAAAATTTCCAAAAGCGTCGCGTGTATATACGCCTGTTTAATAAACGAGAGGAATTCTCATTGGTAATTGTTACGGACGATTCTTATTGGCGAGTGTCAATAAGGTTCGTATCATACGTAGGCAACGATACTTAACGAACGAGACGCGATCGTCGTTAGTTTTTCTCCGTCGCGATTCCCCTCGCGTGTGCGGCGTGACTTTTTCCCCACCGCTGTCGGTAAGGGACGGAAAATAAATAATCGACAACGCCGGCAACGTCAGACGTCGAAGACGTTCCGTCCGATTCGATAGAAGAGATGGATTGCGTGCTAACCTGAAAGTCTAGCGAGGAATCGAAGCATGCCAGCGGCGGAAGACCAGCAATGAGCCGCGGTTCCAGCGACCAGAATTCCACCGGCGATCGGCATTTGTGTTTTCCTCCTCTTTCCCCAATTGTCCTGGCTATGTATGCGTGACGTGTGTATAGATATATAAATGTATACGGTCGGTCTGGTCTGGCCTCTCTCTCGTGTCTCTCTGCGCGTTCCTCTTCGCCGTGCGCCGGAGAAAGAGAGGTAGGGGGGAACGAAGCGAAAGAGCAAGGAGGACGGAGTGTAGGCAAGGGTGACGCGAGAGTCCTAGCCTAACCTAACCTCTCTTCCTCCTCCTTTCGTGTAAAGGGATACACACAGGCACGCACCGGATGAAATGCAAGATCTCTCTTTTTCGACGTGGGGCCCAAGCACGAGACAACCGGTCGCGCACTGTTTTTTCTTTTTTTTTTCTTTTCTTTTTTCTTTTTCAGTTCATGGCACACACTGTTCCCATAGCCCGTGATCTTCCCTCGGACGTTTGACACTCCCGATTCGGCTGGACAGCAGCCGGTTTCGTTTCGTATCGTATCGTTTCGTATCGTTTCGTATCGTTTCGTATCGTTTCGTTTCGTTTTACGTGCCGCGGTAGCCGTGTGTGTGCGCGCGTGCCGTGCGGTGCCGTGCGGTGCCGTGCCGTGTCGTGTCGCGCCAGTGAAAACTCTGTGCCAGCGCACAGACAGGAATGGTATAGACTGAGACAGAGACGGGATAGATAAATTGGCCTTCAGCGAGAGAGAGGGAGAAAGAAACAGTCCATTACGGCGGGGAAGGTGGAGAGGGGAGGGGAAGAGGAGAAGCGCGTACGACGGCGTAGTCTGACTACGGCCTCTACGGGACGCGAGAGAAAGAGAGACGGGTTCTCTCTCACTCTCTCTCTCTCTCAGACTACTCTTCTCTCCGTACACTTCGACACGATGTTGTCACGAGTCACGGATTCACGCACTCATTCGTTTCTCGACACTCGAGTAGTAGACGCGAGTAGATAACGCGCGCGCACTATAGGAACTTGCAAAGTTTTCGCCTCTGTTGTTCGTTCGCTCGAAATCAGTACGTAGGAGCGCGTCAGAAATCGCCTGGTGATCCGTACGCCTCGGAACACTTACTCGAGAGCCACGAAGACACTCTCTCCTCTCTTTTTCAGGCAACTATTTTACAACGATGACCAACAAACGCGAACATGCGCTATCGTGGCAACGTACGACGTCTCTGTACAGCGATTGTCCCTCGGATGATCGTAATGTTACTGCTCGTTGCTGCTCCTGTTGAATATGTCATCGTGAGACTCGCGATGGTGTTCGCGGGCCCTGACGGGCCCCTCGCGGTTCTATCGGCAGCGACACTGCACACACTGTCAGACACAAACTACGATAGAACAGTTGAACGACGACTGACTCCTCCACTCGTGAGCCACCAGCAACGTTGCCACATCACTCGCGAGTCTCAATCGGACAAGTCCTCGGCCACCGACAGACAGGTACGACGATCACTGCGTTCTTGGTGTTGGCGCGCGACCGACTGTTCCATTCGATTTGTCCTCTCCTCTTCTCTCTGTTAGTTTGCGATCTTCTTCGATCACACCGTCGTCGCCGTCGTTTATCCTGTTCTGTCCTGTCTTGTCCAGTTCCGTTCCGTTCCGGTTCTATCATCTACGGCACGTCGATGTCGCGTATCGCCGAGCCAAGTCGTTCTCCGCTTCGGCCACGACTTGTCACCGACTTGTCTCCAAAGTCTTTCACAGTGCCTTTATTTTACTCTTAGCCTTTACTGTCGCATCGTTCGCTCGAGCCCGGCGTGTTGTGTCGCGGTAATCGAGGGTCACGCTCGGCAACTGATGATCGCTGTTGTTGTTGTCGCTACTATCGACTGCGGATTCGGTCGGTGCATCGATATCCACAGAACACCGTGATCCGTACGAGCACACAGCACCGAGCTAACTGGCCACATCTGCTGCCGATTTGCTGGCAGCTCTGTTAACTACAGCGCACGACGGCCGGCCAGTCTGCCTCTGCCTCTGCCAGTACGCTCTCCCTCGCTTTCTTACTCTTGCCTACCAGCAGCCTGCCAGCCTTCTCGAATCGGCCGAGCCTACCTCTCTCGTGTTCTCGTGTATTCTCCTTCCTTCCCCTTCCTCGCCCCTGCCCCGTCGCTTTCCTTCTTCTTTCATCCTGCCCTTCCCTCTACTCGCCTCTCATTCACTCGTTTGCTCGCTTTGCCCCGTCCTTCTTTCACCAGCAATTCTCGCTTCCACCTATCGCCTTCCTATCCCGTTCTTCGTTCAATTCCTCGCCTCTCGCTCTCCATCGAATGAATGGTTTTAGTTCGAGAGGGCGGCCGTGCCGGAAACAGCCGATTGCATCCGGAAACAACCGATTGCATCCGGAAATCACCGAGCCCGCACTTCCCGCATTAGAGCGCTTCTTGAATAAAACTCTATTCCTTCTTCCTTTCTTTTCCCACCGTCTCGTATCTCATTGCCGGTTAACTTCCTCCCGAATTCGTCGTTTCAACAGGCACGACAAACCCTGACGAAGAAAACAGTTGGCAAAGTAACTCGTTCATCGATCGAATGTTTGCCTTCAGAGACAAATTGTCCACCACACCGTCGTCGCGATTCCACCGTTTCTTGGATGCACAGGGTGTAATCCGTTTTGCTTACCAACTTCACCGCCTTTCACGAACCTTTTCGTGCAACTTTTCGTGCGTGAAATTGTAATACGTTTTGACGCGTGCAGTTCGTTTTTAACGCACGCTCCTCCGTGCGTTTTCCTTTGTCGTTTCTTCTCTTTTCCACTGTTCCTCCGCCTCGTTCGATCTCCTCGACGTTTCTCCTCGCTCCTGAGTGTCCCGTAACGGTAGTTAAATTGTGTATCAGTCGCTCGTATGAACGTGTTTGCATCATTGTACTATTTATGCAAATACTCTTTCTCGATTACGATGCAAATCACCTTTGACTTTCATTGCATTTTAACTCGCCTTGCCCCAATTTTTACCCTTATTCACCCTGCAATATAGATTCTTTTGATAAAGCTGCAATTCAAATTTGTTTACAAATGTAAAAAATACTTCTCGTATTACCGATCTGTTTCGATTTCCTCGTATGGAAATTTTCTGGTTTGCGAAGCACGCGTGCTTGCGAGAAATACAAAAGAAAAAAAAACTCGTGGACGGATTGCATGTTCCGTATTCCGTGAAACTGGAACGATATTTTAGGCCGAAAATTGGCGCCGATTAAAAAGAACTGCAGCGTCTGGTGAACTAAATTATGCAAGAAAAATATACCGAAACTCTTCGGCAGTGAGATACGTCAGTGAAGGAAACGCTTCGACTGCCATTCCGCTTGTACTTTTTAAACATTTCTTTAAGATCTGCTCGGGAACGTTGGAACGTTGAAAGCGGGCGTAATTTGTGAGTACAGTTATGACGATTCAAATTAAACATCTCGACCCAACTTCTTTCCTGTTTAGTCGTCCAACTTTTTTCTGCAATGGAAGATCTTTCTTCGGTTCAAATGCATGGAATATACATCAAATAAAACCTAAAAGAACGACTTGATAGCAACAAATGCGGAACGTGTATGTTTTTTATATATATTTGACGATAAACTCAAGCATTTACGATGATATCGTTTTCTATCTTACCGGCTCTTTACAGCGAATTCCTTCGTTGGTTGCGTCTATTTTAATTCACGTGGCGATAAAAATCTTGCGTTGCATTATGCAAGCCAATGTATGACGTAATGTGATACGCCGATTCATAAAGTCCAATGAAACACATGGAACACTAATCGGAATTGTCCTTTTCACGTACGCATCCTGTACACACGCAGCGACATCTGACAATAATATGTGAATATCCGCTAGAAGATAGTTCAATCGTTAAACGCAACGTGGCGCTTGCTTGTTCCTTCAAATATTTCTACCTTTTTATCATAATATTAATAGACAAATTTTTATGGACAAAATGGACTTTTAATTAACCAGAAAACATTCTTTCTCTAAGCTTTAAATACTTTTAATTGTTTCATTTAATTGTATCAATAAAACAAGAATAATTATCAAAATCCTCTTCTGGTATCTTCAAAAGCGTTTTTCAAGCAAATTGTAGCAATTTTATAAATTTAAATAAATAACAAATTAACTGAACAATTTATTGTCAATTTTATTTCCGTTTCGTCACAATTTTTTGAAGAATACTCGCACAATAAGGGATTAGATCTCGAGTCGCCAGGCATCGTCGAAGGGAAAAGGAAAAATGGTGAGAAACAATAGGCGGCCGAGGCGAGATTTCTCGAGATTGCGTTCGCGTAAACGACATCTAAGATATATTTAAAAATAGTGCGAGATTATTGAAGCATTTCGCTTCAGCTGGCCTCTCGCCTCTGGCCATGGAACATCTGCGGAGCAATCTCGATCCTTGCGTCATTATTCTTTGTGACCGCGCATCATCGATTCACAAGTTTCCTCAACCATGGAAATTAATCAACCTTAGACCATGATCAGAACTGATAATGGGAAAACGTGATGTTCGTCGTGGCGAGATTCACCGATCGAGAAGAAACTCGATTCTATCATCTGCTCTGTTTCCTTTTTTTCCTTCCGTCCTCATCTTCCTTCCTTTTTCTTCTTCTCTCTTCTTTTTTTTTTTTTTTTTTCTTCCTTTCTCTGAATTCAATAAGAATTGCTCGACGAAGCGATTTGTCTGGACGCGGTTAAAGGTAACTTTATCGTTCAGCGGTCGTGAAAATAGCCAGACAGAAAATAGTTCGTCGATCGAATTTCGCGAGTCCAGGTGCGGAGGAATGAGGCAGATACACGATAAGCGAACGCGATACAATCAATTATCGATTAGGAAACTAGAGTTTTCCAGCCAATGATTCTTGATTATAGGCTTTCCCCGGTAATTGTTGCTGAATGTGCAAACGTTACGTGCACGGCGAATCAATAATATGCGTATCGATCATTCGTTTTGACGGAAAAGTGCCTCGCGTGCCACGGAAATCGAAGCATTCTGCAAAAAGCAAATGTACTCGGTGTACCGTTGAGACAATTATGATATATTTCACGCATCGAATAAGTCTGCCGCATAATCGCTCGTAACGCGATTAAATCAGCCTCGTGTAATTTCATTTGCTCGTCTATTCAATTACGTTTGAATTTCTGTTTAAAAATCCGTTGCTACTATGAAAAACATTCGAAACTAGTTGTTGATCGGTAAGAATAAGTCCTCCAAATATTCAACAAAAATCTAACCAAGCCTCGGTTAAATAACCAAATTGTCTAATAAAACGCGAAACCTGGTCAAGCATCGACCGCATATGTACGTTCAGGTTGGTAGCCGTCAACTTGAGCGATAAATCGATGGCCAAAGGTGGATGAAACGCGTGTCAGGATGTGACATCGTGCCTCCACGTAACGAAAGTGCATTTACGAGGGACAAGGACCATAATTTGACAGACGACGATATAATATTCATAAGGGAGAGCCGTGGAGAACGAGCGCAGGCGTCGTTGTCGTTGTCGACGGAGTCCTCCGGTTTGTCTATTCGTTTCAAACAACTGTTGTTCGTGCATCGAGCACCGAGTCGGTTCTCCTGAGCCATGTCAACCACTGTGGTAGCTGCGAGTCTGTTCTTACTTGCCTCGTTTCTCGGTCGTACCGTCTCTCAAACGCCCATGAACATGCGTAAGTTTTACCTATGATGCTTTTAGAAAATTTTCTTTGCAATTTGAAATTGAGACATGGGATGATGCAGGTGTTTAATTTTTAGATAAAACTTCGCGAGCATTCAGACGTCACAAACTATTTTACATTTGTTTTCACGAAGCTTTGAACATTGATAGATATAATTTAATATTGTTCCAAGATTCTTTAGTGCGATTATCATTTCTCAGTTGTAAGCTACTAATAAGTAGTTTATATTCTCGTGGAAGCTATTTCTAGACTTAATGCTTCCATAAAATACTTCTCTTAATTATTCTGCTACGGTTAATTATCGTCAAACGTGTGCAATGTTATGAAATATTAGTGAAAATGAAATGCATCGTCCGTATCGGTTAAACATTGATTGGGTCGCATGAAACTTTGATTCGTTCCCGATACATCGATACGAAAAGTAGAAAAGTGGCCGTGCTATCGCTGAATTATTCATGCGATAAACGTCTGACTAATACCTTTCGCATCTCCTGTGCCGACTCGAACGTTTAGTCCCTGATCCTTGACATAGAAAAAGGTCTGATGAAAGCTATTAACAATGATTAAGATCGAAGGAGAAAGAGAGTGATACAGTTCGCGATATCATCGCACAGGTTTTACTTCAAATACGATATACGATGAATTTTTTTCGCTACTTTACAAACAAACAAAAGAGAAAATCGTATTAGCTTAATGAAATTTTCTGCACAGTGAAAATAGCGATTTAATAATAAATAAATGATTACTGCACGATTAGATTCCATCTTTTAATGAAAGTGTATGCACATAACAATACGCTAATGACGATTAAATCATATGTATGTATATATGGTTTGATAAAATAAAAATATTATTTTAATCTATTGCCTTACAACTTTCTTACCAATAATTTTAGATAACCATTACTTACCGTGATTGTAACATTATTTTAGATATAAAACATTATTTATAATTCATACTTACTAACGTTCAATTTCAAGAAAAAAAAAAAAAAAAATTTTAACTTCGAAATTAAAATTTTGCAGAATTGAAATTCTTTCTTCTAAATCGAAACCATATAACTTTTATAATATCGCGAGTGTTGCTCGATATTATAAAACAAGAGGTTAAAATTAGGTAACAGAGGGTGTACATTGCCACTAAAATTTATTTGGACGATCATTTTGAAAAATGGTGAATATAAAAAACGAGATAGATTGTGAAAGATTCTTCGTTTAAATTTGTCTCCATTGGCAATGATCTTTTTATTATTCTGCAACAGTGATAGTGATAGAGGAAGCAGATAAGGAGATGCTAAACATCCTGAACGATGCTGTACCTCAGGCAGAGAAGAATTTTGGCGAGGATGTCATCACCGTGCACATTTCGACAGTCCAAATGGAACGTGCGAACGTGGACAGCAGCTTCAAGGAAGGTTAAGAAGCGAGATGTGTCATGTTTCAAATCCCTATCGATAGAGATCTCTGCAAGTTGCAATTTAACTCGAAATTGCAATATTTGACACGATCCTGCGATCACTTTAAAATCATCTTAAATCGACTTTCACTTTTTCTTTTTTTTCTTTTTTCTTTTAAGATTCTCGTGTAATTTTCAAATAGCCTAACGAATGATCTCTACTCTTTGAAACTGACAGTAGAATTAAACTACTTACTTCGAAATTGACAGTATTAAATGTGTAATGTTTCACAGCGAGAATAATTGGATAATTTATAATTCATTTTCACACAACTTGCATCATTGTGATCAAACTATCGATACTGTAGCTGTGGCAACCATCGACCAGCTTCTCCGCCGTGATCGCGCCACGTTCTTATTCTCGTCTCGTTAAAATCAACTTGCAGTATGTGCTGCCTTATTTAAGGGAATCAGTATCATACTCGACATGACCTGGACCGGTTGGGATCGTCTACGGAATTTGGCCGACCAGAACGGAATAATATACAAACGGGGTGATAGCAATACAAACTCGTACATCCAAGCGATCGACGATCTTTTGATGTTGAAAAACGCCACGGACGTCGGTCTGATCTTCGAAGATGAAAGGGGTATCCTTCTTTCGATCATTCTTCTCGCAAAACTCTACATCGCGACAAATGTTTGTGAAATCGATTCGTACCGTTTTCCAGAGTTGAATCAAAGTCTCTACTATTTAATCGGGAACTCGATCATAAGGTTGGTAGTGATTGACGATTTCACGGAGAAAACAGTGTCGAAGATCAGGGCAATGAGACCATCGCCGTCCTATTACGCGATCTACGCGAACACCGCCAAAATGGACGATTTTTTCAAAACGGTAACGAACAGGAATAATTTCAATCCGTTTAAAATCCGAAGAAAACTTGCTGGCTTGTTCCTTGAATTATTTATACTTTTTAATTTTGCATTCATTCGTTCTATCTGTTTCTCGTATATCTAAACTCGTGCTACTTAAAACTAATTTAACAGTGAGTTGATATTTTCAGAATCAGACTGATGACTCGTTTGACAGATGAAATATAAAAAAAAAAAAACGGGCTTGCGAATTAATTTTAAATATGAAATTTTCTTTATCAATTTAATTTGTTTAATTTTAAATATATTTATTAATTTAATTTTGAATATAAAATCGATTTAAGGCCGTGCAAGGAGGTTTGGTTAAAAGACACGGGATATGGAACTTGGTCTTCACTGACAACAATTACAAGGAGTTTAAATACATCAACGGGAATCTGCAGCTGAACGTCTCGATTACTATACTATCGATGAAGTCGAATGTTTGCTGCAGACTGCTCGGTTTGCCATCGAATTGCAGTTGCCCGCCCGACGTTAAAGTGCGTACTTGGAAATCTTTCGTCTCTCCCCTCTCATTTCACGACTCAAAAGATTGAAAAAATTCGGCTCCTAGATATTCACGCTTTACTTCAGACGATTGATTGGACTCGTAGTGAGTCTGATGAGCGATCTGCAAGCGTCTGGTACCAGCATGGAACCAAAGACTGGCCGATGCTTCTCACAAAACGCGAGCCAAGCTTCGAACCTCACGTCCGAGGCGTTCAACAAGAATCTAATAGCGGTGAGTTTCGCTTTCAATTTTTGTTCGACGAGTTTGAAGAGAAGAGACCCGAGACAATTTCAAAGGGAAATGTCACAATGACAGAAATTAGGGAACAACGACACGTTCGAGTATTGGTCAGAGAAAGGGATAATTACGTACAAAGCTGAGATTGTATTGGAGACGGTTGAGAATGGGTCTCCGGAGCTGCTGGCCACTTGGACGAGGCATAGCAAGATCAAAGAAGCTGACAGGAAGATAAAGCCTGCCAAACGATTCTTTCGCATCGGAACTACTCCTGTAATTAACGATTTGATTTACTTTCTTTTGTATAGCGATATAATGTCGTGCATTCTGCGTTAAGATTGTTATATATATATATAATTATATTAGTATTATATTAGTAAATTATATTAGTATTATATTATAATACTAATAAAATATAATTAGTAAATTATATTAGTATTATATTATTATTAGTATTGTATTATATTAAATTATATTATATTAGTAAATTATATTAGTATTGTTATATGTATTATGTATAATATAATATGATTATATTATTAAATACATTAAAATTACATCAGTCGGTGCCTTGGACCGTGCCAAAATTGGACGCAGATGGAAATGTCATGAAAGATGTTAATGGAAAGGATTTGTGGACTGGTTATTGCGTGGACTTTGTGCAGAAATTGTCCGAGGAGATGGATTTTGATTACGACCTCGTTGTACCGGCGGATCGTCAATTTGGGAAGAAATTGCCTAATGGACAATGGGATGGATTGATCGGTGACCTCGCTAAAGGGGTAGGAAATGACGCCTGAATTTCTGCAACCATCCAAACCTTCTCGTTTGAAGAAATTGCTATCTTCCTTGTGATTTTATTCTTAATTAATTAGAATTAATTTTATTTTTTACTAGTAAGTAGGTTTTCTTTTTTTTTTAATTAAATTATTTTGTTCTCCAGGAAACAGACATGGTGGTGGCATCACTGACGATGACTTCCGAACGGGAGGAGGTGATCGATTTTGTCGCTCCTTATTTTGAACAATCCGGGATATTAATCGGTAAAAACTTATCATGCTACGTTGTTTCACTATTATCACTATTATACCTACAATCTTTCGTTTCAAGTAATGAGAAAACCCGTCCGCAAGCCGTCTCTCTTCAAGTTCATGACGGTGCTTAAAGTCGAGGTCTGGTTAAGCATCGTGGGAGCATTGACGTTAACTGGCATCATGATTTGGATACTTGACAAGTACTCCCCTTACAGCGCCAGGAATAATAGACGGCTGTATCCGTATCCTTGTCGGTAAAGAATTCCACTGCAATCGTGATTCTCTGTTAATAGTTAAAGAAAGATTTAGATCACGCCTTCGAAGTGTGTCGTTTCATCGAGATAAATTACTTAAATTGCTTCGTGAACAAAAAAAAAAAAAAAAGAAACATCACAAGGAATTAATTTTAATCGAAATTTAAATAGAACTGATGTCCTGTATTTAGGGAATTCACGTTGAAGGAAAGTTTTTGGTTCGCTTTAACGTCTTTTACACCCCAAGGTGGTGGCGAAGCTCCTAAAGCGTTATCGAGCAGAACGTTAGTGGCTGCTTATTGGTTGTTCGTCGTCCTAATGCTCGCTACCTTCACTGCTAATTTGGCTGCGTTCCTCACTGTGGAAAGGATGCAGGTTCTTCAGTTTGATGGAATTTTACACGTATCTCCTATAAAAGTAAAAGTTGTGCACCTTTTGAGAACGCGCGTCTTGTTTCAGTCTCCTGTACAATCTTTGGAGCAGTTAGCGAGACAGTCAAGAATTAATTATACCGTGGTCGCTAATTCCGGCCAGCATCAGTATTTCATGAATATGAAGAACGCAGAGGATAAATTGTACACGTGAGTGTTCGAATTTTGATTCTTTGGTTGTTCAGATGGGTTGGAGAATTGATAGAATCTTGATACTCCTAAATGAACAATAGTACATTGTTGTACTAAATGCGTTGTGTTCTAAATTCTGATCGCATAATTTTGTTTTAATTGCAATCTGACAACTGATCGCTGGAAATAGTCGTGTCGAAATATGTTAATTTAAAATATAATATAATATAAAATATAATATAATATAAAAATATAACATAAAATATAATATAATATAAAAATATAACATAAAATATAATATAATATAAAAACAAAACGACCAATGATACAAAGATCAAACAGTATTATTGGACCAAGTATCGAATTTCAGAAATTAATCAAAATTCTCACAAACTCTTTGCAACGACACTCCTTTTTCATATAACTCTACCCTAATTCTCCCCAGCGTTTGGAAAGAAATTACGTTAAACAGCACGAGCGATCAGGTGGCATACCGAGTCTGGGACTATCCAATCAAGGAACAATACGGTCACATCTTGCAAGCGATTACACAGGTCGGCCCAGTTGCAAATTCCAAAGAAGGTTTCCAAAAGGTACGAAAGACACGTCACGCTCGAGACTTTTTTTTTTTTCTTTCGATGCGTCTCGTTTTCTAGGTGATAGAAAGCGAGAATGCAGAGTTCGCTTTCATCCACGATTCGGCGGAGATAAAGTATGAGGTAACGAGGAACTGTAATCTGACGGAGGTTGGAGAGGTGTTTGCGGAACAGCCTTATGCAATTGCTGTTCAGCAGGGAAGCCATCTGCAAGAGGAGATAAGCAGAAAGTACGTGCCGCACACAGACAGACTGCATGTCTCTGTTGACTAATTGGTTGATTTGTTGCAGGATTCTAGATTTGCAGAAGGACAGGTATTTCGAATCATTGGCGTCCAAGTACTGGAATCAGACGCTGAAAGCGCAGTGTCTAAATTCCGACGACAACGAGGGGATAACGTTGGAAAGTTTGGGTGAGTGATTCTCAATCAAAAACCGAGTATCTCTAATTAAATTTTCAATATTCAACAAGCCAGAAGTTAATAATGATGAAGTAACTTCGATCGAAGTTACATTTTTGTGTAAATAGCAATTTGTCAAACAAATCAAACAGAACAGAAATAGTTATAGGGATATTTTCTATTCAAATTTTAGACTTTCATTATATTTTCAGGCGGAGTGTTCATTGCAACTCTTTTCGGACTCGCCCTGGCGATGATCACGTTAGCAGGGGAGATATTCTATTATCGGAAACGTAATACGCAGGATAAGCAGAAAGAGAAGAAGAAAGGGAAGAACGTCGACAAGGACAAGCTGATGATCCAGAAATTAGCCTCGAAATTGCAGATGAAACCGGCGCCGACCCCATTCTTCGAGAAAACGACGAATCCTCCTCGCGTGTCACACATCTCCGTCTATCCTCGCAATTTCCCCTTCAAGGAATAAAAATCCAGCTGTCAGAACAACCGAGAATAGAATTTGTAACAAGAAATGTTCTCGCAGAAGCGAGATCAACTCACTCTGTAAACCGATGAAATAAAAATTTTCGTTCGATGATCATTTCAATTGCAAGATAAAAGTGAAATTAATGTCTTTAGCTAAAAAAAAAAAAAAAAAAAAAAAAAAAAATAGGAAAGGAAAAAAGAGTTTGGTTCGTAAGAAGCAATATCTTTCACTGTTTCGCAATGTTTGTCGATTTTTCACGCCTCTCACGAGCTCCGGAAACAATCGTGAATCGATCGATTATTATAAACGATATCTGGTCCCTTTCGAATCGTTAAAAAGGTGTTTCACTTTCGTTTTCAACTTCGACTCTGTACTAGCGATTTGTAGTTGTACGTGAATGAAGATTCGAGAGATGTTTCATCTTCGAAGTCTTTCTTCACGTCACGCATGGTGTGCTTCTTCTCGATTACGAAAGAGAGAGACGATTTCCCATCCCGACAAAAATATTCGAGTGCTGGAAATGTCGTTTTTTACCCCAGACGATGGCTCGTAGATCGATAGCACTTGTGGGTTATTGTCCCGTCGCCAGAGTTTTTTACCAATTCGCGGCAGCGAAATTGCATAAATGAAAGCGAGCAGTTAGGGATCGGCCAGCTGTGTCGTTTCGATTCGTAACATTTTGCAGCAGTGACGGATAGACTGTTTGAGCTGATTCTGCGAATTTACTTTCGGGCAAAATACCTTAGTTATTTGCCATCTGAACACGTAAAAATCATAAATTATACTGCTCTTTTTAGTTAAAATATCGCAATATTAATTTCATCATTTCTCGAGATATATTTCAAGTACTTAAATTCCCTACATTTTTATATTTTAAGTGTTTTTGCCTCTTTCAAGTAAAACTATATGGTACGATCTGTCACAGAATAATGATTGATATTAAATCGATACAAGAAAATTAATATAACATAGATCTTTAACTTTAGTTAGGAAACATAGATCTTTAACTTTAGTCAACGACTGATGTTTTCGTATATTTATAGGAAATTAAAAGATGTAAAAATACACGCAGAAATATACAAAATACGCAAGTAGATAAAGCAAATTTCGTAAAAATTTAACGACACAGATCCACAGCCTAATTGTCACTGAATAAATTTAATATTCAATAATGTTACTAAAAATTAATTCGGTCCAACGATCGAAAATACGAAAAATATTGCTTCATCGCTATCTCAATAAAAAGTTGACGCGTTCGTGTACTCGCCGCGATTTTTCTCGCATTTGACGAGATGAAAATGATCGATCAGTGGCCACGGACGAGCAAACAACGTCCGGCACTGTTTTACGGTCGTTGATTCGAGTCTTTTCGATCCGCAAGCAACGTTCACCGTGTCTGGGGACAGTCCGCGAGGCGAAAAGGTGGGGCGCCGATGCTTTTTGAATCGCCAAATCGATATAAAGGCTTTCCACGAACGAAGGCGAGATCATTCCGTGGGAAAGTGATGTGGACCGTCGAACCGGAACCGGAAACGAAATAAGTGTCCGCGAATATCGGCGATATCTCGCATCATGCCTTCCTGCAAGCTTCGCTCTTCGTGCCTCGATGGAATGTCTTTGGTAATGGCATCTTTGTCGTTAATTAGTCAGATTTCATTAACAAAACGAACAGATCTGTTTCAGCGTTTCGTAGACTAAATTTTTAATTGGCGATTCGACTTTCAAAGCTGTTTAATATCTTTCAGTATTTCTTCTTTCTTGTTTCGTTTTTAACGCACGGTTAAAAATTAATTCCAGACTCTGACTGACTCTTCCAAAATAATCATTTTCGAAGGATTTTGCACTGCAAATAAAACTTTGACTTTTCGTAAATGTATTTTCCTTCGTTAATTTATCGCATTCTACTTTTGACGAACATACGCTCTGTTCAAAAAACAATTACAAATATCACAAAATATTACAAAATTTATAAATTAAATATATTATTAAACATATTAAATATATTATTAAATATATTAAATTATATACATTAAAATTACAAATATTACGAAACTTCTAAATAAAAAAAGTTGAAATCAATCTTTCCTCATCACTCAGACGTGCTCAATCCTGGCGATCTTCTGCGCGTTGGCAAACGGCGAATACCTCAAAGAACGCTTCGAGCCCTCGTACACCGACGTTCACCCGTGGACTCGCATAAATCGCGAGATTCCTAGCGAATTGATCTTCTCAGATCCATCACCGTCCTATAGCAGTTTCTTAGAATCCAGACGAAACCACCGTGCGTTCGATTCCTCCCTCGATTCCTTCGGCAAGCCTAAACCATGGTACCCGACGTCAACCGCGAAGAAAGTCCCCACGGAGAACAAGAATCTCAAGAAAGTGATATCACCGTTCTACACCGTCACCGACGACGATTCCCAAAGGTACAAGGACATGGTGATGAAGTCCGGCGTTCCATACTGTCGGGAGATGAAAACGAAACGTGGGGAGAAGAGCAGCGGCTCGAAGGACACCACGGTCTGCTACAAATGCAAGAATCCGAAGAACGGCGCCACTTACGAACAATGCTCGTATCATTCTCAGCCATTGGCCGATTCCAGCAGCATCGAGGGGATTCCAGTGGCGCCGCCAGGGTTCAGAAACCGAAGATCCAACATGGACGAAGCTTCGTCTGGCTCCAGGGACTCTGGTGGTCACGGACGAGACGACAGCCCGTATAGATTCAGCGAGAGGATATTCTCAGACGCCACGGACGACGTGCCGCCGGAGTATAAGAACGAGAACGAGAAATGCGAGAAGGTGGCGAAGGACTCGATGGTGTGCATGGTGTGCAGAGACACGAGGAGCAACGCCAAGTACGAGCAATGCTCCTACGTTGGGAAGCCTAACGCTGAGTCCAGCTCGCCTGAAACGCGAGAATCGGAGAAAGAGGGCGAGGAGTATACTGGGAGAAGATCGAGCAGAGATTATTCGAAGAGCGACGAACCGGTTAAGGAATACTCCAGTTACGACGACAAGGAGGTGCCAGAGAGATCGTCTCGAGAGGAGGGCAAAGAATCGTCGAACACCTGCAAGAAGGTCCAAAGAGGCTCGAAGACTTGCACCGTCTGCAAGGATCCCGGGACGGGTGGGAATTACGAGAGATGCTCGTACAGCTACGAGCCAGACGACAAGGTCTACAAGTACAGCAGATCGAAGAGTTTCGGGTATCCCAGCAGTTCCTCCAAAGACAACGACAACAAGAAAGATTACAAAGAGGACAAGTCGGTGGATGAGGGATCGCGAAGCGAGCCTGAGGATTACATCAAAGACTATACCATACCAGAGAGCTATCTCGAGAGAATTCAGTCCTCCCCGCCTTCTTACTTCAAGGACGACGAATCCAGGTCTAATCCAGGTCATTACGGATCGTCTCGAGGATCGAAATCTCCTTCGGACGAGGATGGATCTTCGTCCGGCTACGAGAAATCGAAATTAGAGTCGCAAAGAGTCGCCGAGAGTATCGAGCCGAGCCACTGCAAAGAGATCGAGAGAGACTCTATGACATGCAAGGTTTGCAAGGACCCGAAGACCGGAAGTAACTCGGAGCAGTGCTCGTACAAGTACCAACCAAACGACAAGAGTTACTCGTACTCGAAGTCTAGGTCGTTTGGTAGTCCAACAGAGCCAGAGGAGAGATCGTACGACGAGTCTGAGAGGAAGGAGTCGAAGGAGCCGTACGAGAGTCGAGGCTACGATACTTCCTCGGAGAAGACGCCTCGCGTTACCAACAGAGACGCCAGCAGAGGAGAATTTTCAACGTTCGGGGAGTCGGAGGACCAGTCGGCGAGCTCTGCCCCGAAAAAGGGCGACTCGGGCTTCTACGACGCGTTCAAGAAGAAAGCCGAGATCCAGCAGGTACTTCGCGAGTTCCAGAAGGAAGATCGTTCCAACTGCAAGAAACTGATGCGCGGCCGAATGACTTGCTACCAGTGCGTCGACGAGAAAGGCTTTCAAAAGGAAGAATGCGCTTTCGTAACCTCGGACGAGCCGATCGGGGAGAAGTCTACCAAGAAGGTTCCCAGATCGATCGAACGTCGTTCGTACGATTCATTTGCAGAGCCTCGGGCTGCTGCGAGCGAGAAAGCTGAACGAGAACAATCGAACAGCGAGAGGAGGTCCGACGAGGTTGAGAAAGGACCTAAGGAGATTGAACCTTACGAGTACGTGGCGGAGACCAGACCTGTGTTTGACAAGGTTCTCGGATTCACGCTTCCGGCGTACATGTTGAGCACTTCCGAGCACGAAGACGAGTTTGATAAGATTTTCACGAGTGGCGCTACTTAAGAATGTTGTTTCCTTTTTTTTTTTTTTTATCTTTTGTATCTTATTGGCAGATTCAACGAGCTTGTAGATAATTTGTAAATTTGACGACGAAATAGATTTAGTTCGCTCTTGCATGAAACTCGAGTCTAGACCAATTTCAATTGATAAACAATGCAATCGTTTTCAATTCGTTCGTACTTTTCTTTTTTTCGACGTTGTATACAAGTGGCACTGAATTGTTGTATCACGAGGTTTGTAATTAAATTTCTTCTTCTTGTTTAAACGATGATGAAATTAATCTTTGTCCGATTACGTGCCGAATGTAACTCGCAGTTTACAGTCACGCTCGATCGAACAGGAAATTAGAAACTTCGCTTTTGCGATAAGCGTGTTTCTTTGTTTTTGCGAAGTGTAATTCTTTTCTTTTTACTTTGCGCGTGTATACTACTGCAGAGGTACGCGAAAGGAAGAGGAAATTTCTTCTGTCGACATTCTGTGAGAAGAAAGCGAGAATACGAGAGCGATGTCTGGCCGTCGTTTCATTTCGTCGTGGATGACTGACCACGGATAAAGAAACGATCGTGCAAAACTTAAAAGATCAGAAAACATAGTTTCATTATTCATTAGCTGAGAAACAGATCTCGTTACATCGTCGGAACGAGAACATCCATCTAGAAAACCATTTCCTACTCTTTTTCGTACTCCTAAAACAGGCGTGATAGTTTCTCAATTAACGTCTCAATGTTCCCTCAGCGTCCACCTATTTTCTCTTCATAACTCAGAATTCTCTGTGCCAGAGAATACATTTCTTTTTTTTTTATATTTTAGAACACGTATTCATGTATGTATTCACAAAATCTGACAAATGAAATCCCCTATTTTTTTTCTTCTTTCATTTTTTCATTTCTCTAATATCATTCACTCTTCCATTCTGATCGCAATTGATTTTGCGTCCTGATACGAAATGTTTCGTAGCTTTCGATTTAAAAAACTACCCCTCCATGCAAAAAAATCGAGAGACTCAATCCAAATAAATTCTCGAGGCCTAATTTTCTTCCTCATAGTTTCCAACATTAAATAATATTTTTTCAATATTAAAATAATAGTCTTTCGATATCAAAAACTACCCTTCCATGCAAAAGTTAAAAAATTCCATCCAAATCAATTCTCAAATCCTTAATTTTCTTTCTCATAGTTTCCAACATTAAATAGCATTTTTTCAATATTAAAATTATTAAAATAGTACTCTTTCAATATTGAAAACTACCCCTCTATTCAAAAGTTACAAAATTCAATCCAAACAGATTTTCAAACTTTTGATTTTGTTTCTCATAGTTACCAACATTAAATAGTATTTTTTCAATATTAAAATAATACTCTTTCAATGTTAAAAACTACCCTACTATGCAAAAGTCCTTAATTCTCTCCCTCGTAGTTTTCAACGTTAAATAATATTTTTTCAATATTAAAATAATAGTCTTACAATATTAAAAACTACCCTTCCATGCAAAAGTCAAAAAATTCCATCCAAATCAATTCTCAAATCCTTAATTTTCTTTCTCATAGTTTCCAACATTAAATAGCATTTTTTCAATATTGAAATTATTAAAATAGTACTCTTTCAATATTGAAAACTACCCCTCCATTCAAAGCTCACAAAATTCAATCCAAACAGATTTTCAAACTTTTAATGTTGTTTCTCATAGTTACCAACATTAAATAGTATTTTCTCAATATTAAAATAATACTCTTTCAATGTTAAAAACTATCCTTCTATGCAAAAGCCCTTAATCCAAAAAATCCTTAATTCTCTCCCTCGTAGTATTCAACATTAAATAATACCTCTCTTTCAATATTAAAAACTGTCCCTCCATGCAAAATTCATAAAACTCGCAAAAATTCAATCTTCTGATCTCTCGTTTTCGTCTGTCATTTTCACATAGAAGAAAGGAAAGAAAAAAACAAAGAAAGCGTCCCCCTGTCGAACTCGACCCGCTGCTCGCGACTCTGTCGGTGAAAATCTCGGCTCGTCCGATCGCGCCACATCGCGGAGCTTGTCGCGGCGACAAGAAGCCGAAACGATGACGGAATCTGAAAGCTGAGGTTCGCGATCCGATGGGATCGTTGTCGGGCAGCAGTAGCAGCGGACGCGCGCTAGTGTCGGCATCGGTGCTGCTCGTCCCTTTCCAGATCCGTCAACCTTCCACCTCCTCGGTACGCCTCGCGGAACATCCGTGGAACAGGCCACGACCAGCCCAGAGAGAAGAGAACCGGTTCCCTGTCGGCTAAACGCTGGTGGAAAGCGGCACGAGGCGGCGCGAGCTTAACACACACGGGATTTCATATTTCGTTCGCGGCGGATAATCGTACCCTCTATCATCCCGAGCATGAGCACCTCGACGTTCGTGGGGTAAGCGTGTATTTTCCTTTTCCTCCTTTATCTCGCGAAAAGAAACTCGCTGAAAGGCGCAGCGTATACAAAAAATCGTAAAGAGCATCGTCCAAGGATCCTCGACGTCGTTCGAAGATTTTTCTATTAATCTTAATTCGGACACTTGACACGGGTCATTTTGATGCGATGCTGCGAATGGTATTTTGAATTTGGTTCTTGAATTTGACAGAGAGTAGAATATATACTGCGTTGTTCGAATATATATATATATATAGATTAAAAAATAATTAAATAATAATTATTAAATGATTTTCAAGTGAAAAGAGGAACGAAGCTTATTATGATTATCAGTCATATGTATTTTGGAAAAGGAACTCGCGAGACAAGATTAGAAGTTCTTTAATATACTAATATCAATGCAATGTGGTATATTGAGAACTTCAAGAGAAACTATAGCTCCCTTTCTCAGAAAGCTGACTTTTAAAAAAAACTTCGTTTCTTTGTTTATTTAATATTTTATTTTTTAATATTTTTTTCTTTATTCGATATTTAATATTTTAATATATATAGAAATTCGTAACGATCCAACTATCTTATTGTAAAATACTCTGGCCAACTATGTGTTTGACATAGATCTATCATACAGTTTCTTCTTTCCCGAGCACTTCTTAATTACGTAATTGTAAGAAAACTCATTTCTATCTTCCATCGTCGTCCGGATTTTCTGATCCGAATGAAAGTTAGTATGGTAGTTAATAGTAGGATAAGTGAAACTGGTTTCCAGTTTGGTACTCGAAAGGACACGACTCGGCTCGAGAAGGACCGGGCTTTTTCCTTTTGTTATTTTCTTGAGCTTCGTTCGCATGAGAACTGTTTAAGGAAAGATAAAAAAAAAAAAAAAAACAGCTTCGTCTAATGTGATTGAAAAGACTTGTATCACTATAGCATTTACAAAGATTCTAAAGTAGAGATTCTGGCAAAAGAACGGCTGTCGCGATTTCGCTAACGGTGCGCAGTCGATTTGCCTCGTTTCCAGCTTGTACAGAAATAGCGACGACGTTTTCGAGCGCTATTAGGGGATTGAGAAAGGTCGGGATCTTCCCGGTTTCACGTTCATGGGGTCCCGTGTTTCACGGTGCGTTTGAGAAAATTCACGTAACCGATTACGAAATTTCTCGCTCGCGTTTCTCGAACTCGATTTTAGTACGTTCGTCATCCGATAGATTCGGACAAAAGTCTTTCTCTCAAGTTCTACGCTACTTGAATTTTTGAAATTTCATTTTATAATATTGCTAGGAAACGAGGTTCAAATCGTATTGACGCAACGCAACTCGCTGGCCTTGAAATAACTATATATTAAACTTTCCCTTGCCGAGGATTCCTAATTTCTTTCTTTCTTTCTTTCACACAATTGTGCAACATTTAATTTCATTTAGTTGCACAAGGTGAGAGTCTATCGACACGAAAAACGTGTGATACACGGGACAAAGATTACAGAGAGCACAAACGGAAGTGAAGAGAATGAAATTGGCTGACATACAAAATCAGTGAAGAAATTACATGACAAATAACCTAAGTTATTCTTGAGAAATGTACAAGAAAGAAAGATCCAATGGTGGTTGAGTAAATTCCAAATTTCCAAGTAGTCTAGAGAAGAAAAAAATCTGAACATCTTCTCGATCTTTTCACAAAGAATGCATTTTACGATCGCCATTCATGGTATCTCTGAAAGATTCTTCCTAGCGGCGCGTTTATTTAAAGCCGCTTAAAATTGCATAAATAGTGGATCCGTAAACAAAGTCCACTGCCAAGAGCGATTATTAGAAGCGATAAATTCGCACGAACACGTTGGGTTCGCGAGTTAGCTGAAACTCGGGTTAGTCGTTCGGTGCTTTTTTCTTCGTTTCTCAGCGGCGTGCCGATAAAATTGGCCGAGAATCGGCTCGGGGGACTCGAGTTCGAGTTTGAAGATGGCAGTCGGAATGACTTGGGCCTTGCGACGATTCCAAGAAAGAGCTCCTCGACCTATATCTCGTCGTTAAAAAGAAAAGCATTCATCGAGAGGCTTTTCGTTTAACGGATCGTTTAAACGCTCGATGTTCAATCGATTCGATGTTCAATCGATCAGCTTCCTTCGTATTTCTTCGATCGTGACTTTGACGACTCCGAGAAATAATAGAAATTAGGGTGTTTTCATCGAGCTGTTAAAACGCAATTAATTATAATTTCTATTAAATATTTTATTTAGACGCAATAACACTGTGTTTTCAAAGATTTAAATAATTTTTTGCAAAATATATAAATGAAAGCTTATGTATTACATTGTATTACTATAAAGTTTCTTTATTTTTTTCACTTTGATGTCTCGGATCATAAAACATTTTATGCTTCAATCGCCGGTAGTTCTAGTGTTAAGTGATTAAGATTAATTAAAGAATTAGTTTTAAAAAATGACAAGCAGATGGAGAAGATAAAGATCTAATAAATCGGTAGACTCGAGATTGAAAATTTTGTTGATCAGGTCGGATTTGGTTACGTAAGGCGTGCGGAAACGTGCATGATCGTGTCGGAAAAGAGAAGCTTCGGCCTATTTATAACGGCTACAATCACGGAAAGTGAAAATCATTGTGTGCCGAGGTGTACAATTCCAACAATTTCCAACTTGGCAGCATTGAATTAACTCGAGCGGAATGAGTTATGAATAACTTTAAATTGCCGCGGCATTATTTTAAATTTGAAGGGACTGGCGTGTCTA